CTGTGAGGTCTAGATGTTGCAGGGGTTTGGGTTCATCTTAATCCGGGTGGCCAAAATAGCACTTCGGAAGAGCTCAACTTGGTGAAGAACCAAACCATGCCCCAGCAGACTGGCATGGTGTATTAATATTTCATATGACACACAATGAAGTGCATCAAGCTGTTTCCCCTATACAACTTGTACATTGTATGACGGTGCACAAGTTGAGTGGAAACTTAATTTTTGGGCTGCAAGAGCGACCTGCAGCAAGACTTCTTGCAAAGATGCATTTTTATGCTGCTAGTTGAGAATTTCATGGAGCAGCAGAAGTTGGACCCCTCAATACACTTTATTCTTTAGCAAAACACCCTATAGGCATACAAGATGTACTCCTTTCCCCTGACTTTGCCCACGGTGTGCAAATGCTTGCAGGAAAATGTGGATGTGCTGCATACCAGTACTTAATCTTATCTCAAGCATCACTGCCATGGTCAGCAACACCCCCTCTTGGGATTTCTCCCACTTCTATTTTTTTTTTTCTTTTAAGGCTCCCAAATGAAATGGAGGGGGCAAGGATGGAGAGATGTTCAGGGCTCCCTCTAGCTATATAATACAGGGAAACCTCCTGAAGACTAAGGACTTGGGATAGGGCACAAGCTGCTCACCATCCTGTGGTGTCAAGTTTGTACCTCCCTTTAGAAGCTTTTAAAGCTTACTAAGAAAATACCTCCCCTTAAACGGTATAGTAGTTTTTACCCAAGTCCTGTTATAAGAGCCTCTATCCTCCTTCAGAGAAATCCAGAGTTGCTACACAGCCTTTTCCACTAATGCTTAAATACCTAGAGATCTTTTATTTAACTCATTTTCTCCCACTCCACCCCCTGCACAAAAAAAAAAAATACTCCTCTGCACATACTTCACCAGGCAGAACAATTTATGACCCATCTTAGTGTTCAATCCACCGAGGCAGCCGGCTTGGATCTTGCAGTGAATGAAATGCAAGACTGTAGACTAGAGAATAAATGTCCCCTTGAGGAAGGGAGATGGTGTTTTGCACGATGTGTTTTATATACCTGTGGAGTAGACTCTACGCTTAAAGATGCTGCTAGAGGATGGCATTTGGCTTTTTCTAAGCACGTTTCCACCAGGATCCCTCTGGCTTAGTGTTCATTATTGGTGATCTACGGGTCTGTCTGGGGAGGAGGGGGTGTGCAGCTGGTCTGCCACATGACCTAGACCTTAGTCTATTCTGTCTCCTGCCTAACTTGTGTGAAACAGGCCTGCATTAGGCCTCCAGCCAGACTTGTGCTGCTTCTACACCAAATAAAAACTTTACTTCCATGTTCACTGTAAAATATTTATTATGAAAATGGATAAGTGGACCCATGTCACCCAGAGCACCAAGGTGCCCTCATGGCTGCTGCATGGAGTGAAGCTGTATTTCACTGAGAGTACAAGTCCCTTTCTGTGAACGGGAACTTGTGTGTATAGAGGAGCGCATCGTAACCCAGAATTAAAAAAAAAAATCTACCGCTACCATAAAAATGCTGCCCTCAATGGACTGCGTGTTTCCTACAGGCTGGCAGTGTTGGAAGACCAAGCTGTCTCCTTAAGGCATTGAACCAGGGTGGGGAGTGGGAACATGGCAACAAGTGCAGTGCAAAAGTGTCCGATTCCCTTGGGGATGTTCTTTCGGCAGCTTCATCAGTACCCAGACCACCAACTCCAAGTGAAACAGCCGGCTGAGTGCAGGATGTAAAGCAGCCTATGTATTCCTGCCACCTTTTCAGGGCAGAAACCAATTTAACCAGCACAGGTTCCCATTCCCCTCAATATTCTCCCTCCGTGTACCTGCTGCAGGACTCTCAGCTTAGGTTGTTAGGTCAACTTGCAAGAGGTCCCTACCTTAGCCCGTGCCCAGGTCTCCCACCAGTCAAACAGCAGGGTTTTGTTTTTTTCTTTCCCCAAAATAGATACTGGTCACAAGTGTTAGATTTATGGTAGCTTATGTGGCAATCCTGGCTTGAGGATTAGGGTGGGAGCAAAAGTCTGCCTGGGTTGCAGCCAGCTCCCTGCGGAAGATTGTTTCTGTGCCTAAGGCCATGAATTCTGCTTTAATTGCAAAGCACTAACTTTGGCACAAACTCTTGGCACTTGAGGTACCCTGGCTGAGCTTGATCTTAGGAAATTTTTAATCAGAGCCAGGCCTGTTTTACTGTAATGAGTATGAAAATTCACCAAAATGCAAAGCTTAAATGCACCTGCACAACACAGGATCAACGGTAGATCTTGCAGCCGAAGGATGCTGTAGATGCCAAAATGTGGTGACTTTTCCTGCAAAACACATGGTGAGCAAAAAGACCAGCAATGAGTGCACCTGTGTTGCTAGATCTCAAAGCTGTTCTTCAGTGCTCTCTTTCCAGATGACAACTATTTGGCTGTTTTAAAAGATGCTTCCACGCATGCTCCCTTCCCTTTTTGAGTCCCAGAAAGAGAGAATACATTAGCTCAGCTTTGGCCTCCCGCACAAATATGTCTCTAATTGCTGGACTCATCTCTGGCAGCATTTTACTAGTAAAAGATTTCCCTGGTGGCTGATGTGCAGCTTTATTAAATGATGCTTCATATTTTAAAATAGATCTCAAGCTAGTCCTTTGGACTGGCTCCCTGTGCTTTCAGGCACCTGCAGCGGGGGTGTCTGGCCTGATTCATAACCTTGCCTTCCAAACTGCCTCGTCTGTGCAGAAGAGGAGGCAAGGAGTGTTTGAAGGATAGGCATTTGGGGATTAGAAATGAAGATCATGGTTCGTCCCTCCACCCTTTGAGCTGCTTTCTTTCCCATGGAGCTCTGACTGTAACAGTTGCTAGAGAAGTCTCTGTAAATACAGGAGTGAGGACACGCGCTGTGGTCATTGGATTCCTATTGTCCAGAGAGCTTAAAACTTTTCCATTAAATAGAGGTGCCTAGTACTGTAATGAAGCAGATGAGCTGTGTGTTGGATGCCCATGCAGGAGCTTTTTGGAGGAAGGAAAGAACATGGTTTTAAAACCAAAGCTGAAGGACTGCTTAGCCAAGGTGCTACGAGAGATGGGGCTTACGCCGTCACCATCATTGGTTTGGACAGAGTTACCATCCGGAGCACGGCTGCGGTCTAACAGCAGTAAGCCGCGCAAGGGCATGCTCTGCTTGAGATCCCCCGGGATAGCATTTCATCCTTCCCAACAAACCCAAACCCAGTAGTGATGGCTAAGAAAGCAAGGCTGCAGTGCAGCTGCTTGGCTTGTTAACCCTTTGCTGCCCCTGGGTTTCTTCCAACACATGCTCCTGCCCCTTACCCAAAAGCATCAACGGTTGACTCGAGTGGTGCTCCAGATCATTTCCACAGTCAATGAGATCACTTTGTCTTATCCCACCTCAAGCACGGTCCTCTACAAGTTGTGCCTAGCTGTGTGCGATGAGCCATCTGCTGGTGGATATTGCACAGCACCGCAGGGGGGTTTATTTATTTCTACCCCAGCTTCTCTCTGCACTGTTGAACTCAACAATACCTGCTCCCTTCTTCCCCCTCCAGCCCTGCCCACCAGGAAAGTGCTGGCCTCCTTCCGTGCAAAGCCTCCCCCCACGTTCCCAGGACTCAAACCACGTTCTTCCCGCACAGAAGAGAGGCAGCAGATTTCCAGAGGGAAAAGCTTGAGCACCAAGAAAAAAAAAACCCCACCCAGCGCAAGAGGCTCTTGCAGGGCAAACAATGCTACACGCGCTGGTGCAATCAGTGCGATCTACCCTTACAGTCGGCGACTCATCCCAACGCCAGTTCCTGTATCGAAAGGATGAGAAGCCAGATAATCCTTGTAGACCCCATCGATCAGCTTGTCTGCATTGTTCTTGGCAAACCAGCAGTCAACTTCCTGCTGACCGTTGTAAATCTTCCTCTGCTTCTGCACAACAGGAACCAGGCGACCTTTCACCTTCAGGGTTTTCCCAGGGCCTGGCTTAGGCTCTTCTGTTTGGTTCTGACCGAGCAGCTGAGCGCTTTTGCCTGGAGGGTCCTGGACAAGTTTAACCTCACGGTACAAGAATTGACCTGCAAGGAAAGGTTCAATTTACTTACTGAAGTGGCTGCTTGGTGCCTGATTTTTTCTTTTCAATACTGTCCACCTTTATTTTATATTTTTCAAACACCAGTATGATGCTAGGGAGGATCTACATTCTCCTTTTCTCTTGCAAAGCTCACAAACCTGGCAGCAGGGCTGGGGATGAGACAACGGGGACCGCAATGCTGCTTTATTTCCAAACGCACAGGCCTCGGCCACTTGAGCAAAAGGAAAACTCCCCGAGCTGCTAGAACTAGTACACCTCAGATTCCCATCTGTGGGCAAAGCCTCTCGAAAGGCAATGCACATGGCTGTCAGAGAGAGAGCGCCAAGGATGCTCCCTGCAACCTGGGAGCCCTGGGTTTCCATTTCCTGCCCTGGAAAAGCCTGCAGGTGTGATCTGGAGTAGGCACCTTCATATCAGAGCCCAAAAAAAGGGTCTTAGATGCCTGAAGTGGGACTTAAAATGCTCCCTAAATTCAGAGTTGCAAACCTGATTGCCCCTGGTGAGCTGCTGTCTGATCCCAGAGGTGCCTTGGTTTCCAAGTTGTGCTGATCGTGCACATCCAGAAGCATTTTGTCACCTTCCCAGGGCTGAGCGGTTCAGCGCTATTTCTCCCCAAGCATCCAGCTTGTAGCCACATTAGTCTAGACCAGCAGTTCCCAAAGTCTGACAGATTGCACACCACCGATTTAAAACGATACAACCCCAAGTACCACCAGCAAAGTTTCAGTTCAATGTTAAGTACCACCAGCAAATTTTTGGCATGTACAGTAATTATAACAACTCTGTTAACGCGGACCACTGATAGGTTGTTTGAGTACCTCTGGTGGTACCCGTACCACCAATTAGGAGCCACTGGTCTAGAAGCAAAAGCAATCAGGACTCATAGTAGAGGTGATATCTTTTATTAGACCAACTAGTTGTTTGCAAAAAAATATTAAAATTAAAATACTTTTTTTTTTTTAATACTTTTGCAAAAATCTAGTTGGTCTAATAAAAGATACCACCTCTACCATGAGTCCTGATTGCTATTTCTCCCCATACACTGGACAGAGAGATGAGCCCTGGGTCCTAAATTCCACTTGTGAAGGCCATGTGCATTGAAATCCTCAACCCTGTGAAAGCTATGGTCCTTTTTGGGTCTAGCCCCTGGAGGAGTAGGAGTTGGAGTTCACTGGGCCTAAGAGGGAGTGCCACCTCTCAGCTGAACCCCTCAAGCTACCAGATCCTGCATCTTTCCCTCAGCCCCCTTTGCAATAGCCATTTCCCCCATATAAATAATGCATTTGCCAACAAAGGATGGAGCCGGAGAGAGCATGTCACCCACCTAGCAGCCCGTGGGAATGGGCGGAGAGCCCTTTGCTGTTAGAAATGTAAAATCCCAGATGGTCCTTTTGATAAGGGGCAGGATTCTTGTACTGATGAATCAGGATGATGAAGCTGATGGTGCCTCCTATCGTCACCGTGACGTTGGAATTGGCCGCGACGGACACTTCCAGGCCGCTGCTGCCCACAACGGCGCTCTGGTCACACGGCAGGATGAGTCTTTCCCCATCATCCAGAATGACTTTGGTGGGTGTAATCTCTAGGTAGGATCTCTCTGGCTTATTGCTGAGGATAGTGATGGTGCTAAAGTAAGTCCGTTGTTTCTTGTGGCCTCTGGGAGGAGCCGGGGCTCCAATTAATTGCCCGTTCACGGTTACACCTTTAAGGAAACGAGAACCATCAGTCTGAAACCAGAGCATATGAATAACTCCGGGCTGCTGCCCTGCTTCATATGTCACGGGAACCTCATTTTTGAGTGGCTTCAAAACCACCTCTCGTGGGGCTACTTTGTTCGGACTTAGATCACCAGCGCTAAAATCATGGAGGTGGTCAGAGATTTGCATGCTTTCCCCATCTATGCCCTAGGGCACCTCCAATACGCTCACTGATGGGTTTCAGAAACCACTCTCCTTCCCCTGTGCCTCAGTGTTTGCACCAGAGAGGTTGGCTTGGAGAGTGAGATTGCCTCTGCGCAGAGCTCATTAAGACCATTCTTGGCCTAGAGTTTGCCAGCAAGAGCATCAGTTCTGGTCACCCTGGCTGCCTTTCAATTCAAAGCTGGCTTCAAAACCAGAACTCATTTCCTACCAACCACCCGATGATAACAACATAGCATCATGACTACCCTGGGCTCCATCCAAGCCCTCGTCACAGAGTGGAAAACTCCCTATCCCATCATCGCAGTAGCAACTCGGGTCCTTTCTCCAAACAGGCCATTTCCTGTAACAAAGGGAACTGTGTTTTCCTTCCAATTCACTCAATTTGATCCGCAAGAGCAGGCAAACAGCAGCAAAACACAGTCTGGGGGAAGGTAGTGGGCTCATTGCCAGGAAGTTGATTTTATATTAAATAACAGGGGGGGAAGGCAGACAGGGATGGAGCTGGGACCACTGCTACCAGCATAACACAGAACAGATCTCCAACTCTTTCAGGGGGGGTTTTCCCCGCCCCCAGACTTTTCTATGTTTTTTGAATTCTTGCTCCACAGCTTTCCTGCTTAGTAATAATCCTCTTACAAACCGCCCTGCTTCCGAATCCCAGATCAGATGAGAACCCGAGGCAGGCGGCGCCCATCCTGATCTCTCCAAAGCAGATGCCTAATCATTTTGGTTTTCACCTTGCTTGAGGCATTCCTAGTTGGAAGCAAAGCTGTTTGAGTGCAATTATTACTGATCCTCCATTAAAATAAACTGCTCGATGTTTTGGTGTTTTTTTTCATTGCAGCTTGGGGGGGACTCTGCTGAAAGCTAAGTAAATAGTGTGCACTTGAATGCTAATAAGTGGAGCAGACTCTGATGCTTTGGATCTCAAGGGCTTCTTTCAATTGCAGTGAGGGTTGCAACCAGTGGGCTGCAGAAGCTGAATCAGCGCAATCCGCTGAGGGTGCAAAGGAAGGACAAATCCCTTGCATAATCTCTAGTGGGCAGGGGTGCTGGCTCATACAAAGCTTCACATGTTCGCAAGCTGAAAGTGAAATGGCCATTTGTTTGACAGCTTGAGGAGCAGTCAAGTGCAGCCTACACACTATACATGGTTCGACTGGCCAGTCCTTCAAATTCAGATCAAGCTGGATGTGGGGACTCTGTTTCCCTGGCCCTCGCTTCTGTATTAAATACATGGGGTAGCTGCAATCTGCTGCATCCTCCATCATGCATGAAGTAGTTGCCACTGCAGTTTCCTTCGCAGGAAACCTTCAACTGGGCAATATTCGGAGACAATATTTAGGACCCTTGGGTTCCACAAGCAGCCACTGGGACGGCACACACATGACACATGCCGTCTGCAAAAGGGCAGTAAAGCCTCCGTCCTTTGCAGGCTCATTTTAAGTCCAGCTCATCAGGCATCTCATTGCTAAACACCCACCTACAGGACTCCTGCCTGCTGCTAAGCTTTCCCAAGGGCACCAGCAGGGTAGCAGCAGCAGGATTCCCTATTATCTTACCAGACTCTTTGTGGTCAGAGACCAGTCGGAGAACGTCCCCAGGTTGCCCATCGATATTGAAGCAGACCGCTAGCTTGCTGGAGGGGAAATCGATGACAAAGTGAGGGTCCCCGTCCGCTGAGAAGACACAAAAGGGAGAAGAAGTGTGAGGGAAAGCTGCAAACAGAAGAATTCAAGTAGGGAATTTCATAAAACGCTTTGCAAAGAGCACCAGGACCACCGTCTCCCTCGTCCACTGATACCTTAGGGCGCATGTACACGTCACGTTATATTTTAAGGGGTTGACGTAGAAAGTATGTTTTATTTCCACCAAAAACATTGAGTTTGGGGTGAAAAACAAAAGTGAAAAAAGAAACATTTCAAATGGGAATCCAAATACTTCGACCCTGAAATGATCCTCCTCAAGGGAGCTGTAGTTTGCGTGCCTCCTGTTCTCATTTTATGTGCAGGCTGGACTCCATAGCTGGACTACATCTCCCACCGTGCACTGAAATCTCCTCCGACTGAGAAGGCAATGAACGGTGAGCGCTACAGCATATGGAGGAAAGGCTTGGCTGGGCATCCTAGTGGGAAACAGGGACCTGCAATTATTTAGTCCATGGATTTGACTGTGAGGAGGGACCAAGGCAACACCAAGGGACAAAGGCAGAATAGACTTCTTTTGGTTTTCAGCTGAAAACTCTGAGCATTCCCGTTTTGCCTCTTTTTATGGAGAAAGCAGATGCTTTTTGCAAAAAACAAGTGTTTAATTGAAAACCCAGTTTTCCATCCATAAGCAACCCAAATGAAAAAATTTCCACCAGCCCAATGTTTGCCTTCAATATTTGGCACAGAGAACAATAACCAAGACTATAAAGCCCTTCTGTCCCTCCGCATTAATTTGATGCTTCAAGTAGATTTTCAGCTCAGTGGCTGACTCATCTGGGACCATTCAGCAGACAAGGGACATTTGAAGATTGGCCTGAGCCATAAATGTCTGAGCCAGGTCTAATTTTCCTCGGTGCCTTGTTGAACTCAAATCCAGGTTCTTGGCTTGAACCAGTTGGTAAGTAGTAAAGGGATGTTGAGTAGAGTGGGATCCCTTCAATGTACTAAAGGGATGTTGAGTAGAGTGGGATGAAAATAAAAAGTTGCAAAAACTTAGAAAACAATATAAATGCAGAGGGGGAGGGTTATGGGGAGGCGTTTCTGAAATGTCAGCAGAATTGCTTGGAAAATCACTTTATTGCAACCAACTCTAAAATCCAGACAAATTTCTTATCGCTCCTAAAACAAACTGGCTTTCACTAAACTATTGTGGGGAGACGGGCAGGGGCCAGATCAGCCTGGAGAAGTCATACGTAAATACACTTCCCTTTAGCATCCACTCTTTGCCACTATGCATATTGGGTTAGACGGACCCGTGGCCTGAAGCACAGTTCTTATATATTGTGACGATAAAAATGTTCACGTAAGATAGCACTCTGCCTTGCTTCATTGCTGGCCCTCTCTCTAGCTCTGAGTACGTCCCTGTCCTCTCTCCCCTTTCTTTTCCTTTAAAGTGACCCTGTTTTAATGGGATACATTGAATCCCAGCTGATTTGCTACAGGAGGGTACACACCACGGGGATGCACAATGGAGGCCTCTGTACCTCAGCTGTTTTTTATCTCCAGTTGCAAAAGTAGATGGGACTGGGAAACAGACACTCACCTGAAGTTTTGGAGATCCTGATTCTTTGTTTTTCTCGTTGCTTGGGCACGCTGAGAGCTGGGGAAGAGAACGCAGCCGGAGTCATGTGTTAGAGACAGCAGAATAAGCAACGTTACCACACCGTTCCCAAAACACCGGTCGGAGAAAATGCCCAAGGTCAAATGGCACATCAGTAGCAAGCCTAGTGCCATGAAAAGCCACCCCCCACACACACACACTTTCATCTTTAAGGTTTCCTCTATTCATGCAATCAATTCTGAGGAAGTGTCTATTTTTAAAGCACGTTTCCCTCCAATGCTGTCAGCATGATTTTTTTTTTGTACCTGGCAGGGCCTTGTGTCCTTGCAAACCCCGCACACTTTCCCCAGTGCCCTCTGTAGGAGGATGGGCATAATCCTCCTCCAGTCCTTCCGACTGAAGCTCAAACTCCTTCATCTTCAAGCGAGTGAAAGGGGTGACGAAGTTGTAGGTCAGAGCCAACGACTTGGCCCTCTCCATCAAACGCTCCTTCTCTGCGCTGTCATCGCTCTTCAGCCAGGAAGTCAGCAGCTCCTTGATGGTGAGGTAGCTCCAGGCCCTTTCAATGTAATTCTGATCCCCTTTCCCATTATCCAGGCCAGGGATGCCCCTGATGTCGTTCCTACTCGGGATGTCTATGTTCACGTCAGTCTTCAGGAGGATGTACTTGTTGCTGTTGCTGGCCGTCACCTCCACGTGGAAGCGGTCTGAGGTGTGGTTGATGACTTTGCCAGCAATGACGATTTCGGACCCATTGAAGTAGTTGGGGAAGAAGTTCTGGGTGACCTGCTCCACGCTGTCCTTGGGGTAATCAACTCGAATATCGGAGAGAAGAGGCGTCCCGACTTCATCATAGAACCTGAAACAAAGTCACATTTCCCAGAAATTAGTGCTCTCAGCAAGGTACCTGCGCACAAACCTGCCCGTTTTTACACACGTGCTGTCTTTGCGCTTCAAGTGGGACCTCCCCCAAAGATCGTTTTAACAGGCAGATTTTCCAGATTGAAAATATGTGGGTCTAAACAAAATATCCCATGTTTTCCACAATAAGCAGATGCTTTTCAGGCCTGGGCGCCTTAACGTGGTAAACAAAATGGATCGCGCATCCTTCTTTCTGCACTTCTGCCTGAGACTCCCATCTCTCCAGCCCCGCAGCTAGAGAGATGCAATGTCTCAATACCCGTCATTTAAACAAAAGCATTGTTCTGAAGGGCACCAAGGTTGCACTGGGGTGTGATGTACCTTGTGAGAAGGACTAAGGGTGCCCATGGGGTCAGTCATCTGCACCCAGACCCCTGAATCTTACCCGGACGGCTCTTCTTACCCACAGCCAAACCAGGAGTCCCACGGTTTGGAGCTATTTGAGTACTGGGCTGGCCCCTCATTTTGCTTAACCTTTCATTATAAGAAAAGGCCCCGATCCCAGATGCAACATCTGCAGCTGATCTCAACTCTGGATCTATCAAGGTTTCTTCTTCCCCAAACCCATGCCTGAAAGAGGTGATGCCGCCAGAACCAACCCTTTCAGCTGGGCCGCGGCATCCTCATCTTCCTGGATGCGCCGCATCATGCCGCAGTTCTCCAGCGCCATCCTCTCCAGCAGCTTGTAGTCAACGTCATTGCCGATGCCGATGGTGAAGAGGCAGAACTTGTCGCGGATGGCTTCCTTGGTGTTGCTGAGGATCTTGGAGGACTGGGTCTCCCCCACTGTGGGCCTCCCATCCGTCAGGAAGATGACCAGGGAGACGCTTCTGGCATCGATGTTGTTCTGAGCAATGTAATCATTCAGCAACTTCGAACCCGTCTGGAGAGCACCATTAATATCAGTACCTGGGGATGCACCAGAGACATTAGCTTATTCTCCTATCTAAATGCACTGCACATGGCTACTCAGAGAAATAAGGGGACTGTGTCTATAAGTAGGTTCAGCTGTTACAGCCCCTCCTGGCAGATTTGGGGAATCGGGCAATGACTTCTGGTTCTTTTTATGAAATGGTCGTGTCACTGGAGAAAAGATGCCATTAGCCTCAATGACCAGGCTTTCCCCGGACAATGGCTATGCTAAGGACGTGCGACCCGGGAGAACAGGATTTACGCAGTTTGGAAGGGAAGAGGATAAGTGGGGGGCAAAAATCTGCAAACAGGAGAACAAAAAAGCCCAATGGTAGCATTTGCCTTAAAAAAATTTGGGAGGACTCCCAGGTGGAATCCTTTCCTAGTCCTTTTAAACTGAGGGGGTGGGGGGAAACGAGGAAGAAAGACATAGCTGTAGAAGTAAAAGGAAAAAACTCAATGATGGAGGTTGCAAGTGAGAGAGGAAC